TGGAACTCTGGCATTTTTTTTAAAAACATCGTACGATTTATTAGATATATCCCACATGTATGAAATCCAGAAACTAAATTTTGACATGCAGTGTCTTGCAACTTAAAAGATAAACTTTTCAATAGAGCTGGAAAATGTTCTTTAGGAAAACATCCAGATTTTCTGCTTTGTTTCTTCCATTCAATTAATACTTGCTTCCAACAACGCTTCGTAGGACCATAGACAGACACATCTAATGGCTGCATTATATATGTGGCATTTGGTGGCAACATAACAAAGTAAACATTATGCTCCTTGGCTAGTTTTATAACGTCTGCATTAAAATGAGAGGCCAAATTATCTCCTAAAAGTAGTTTGGGCCTATTTAAATGCTGAACGTTTGGCAAGAAGCATGCTTTAAACCATTTCTCGAAGGTTTCCATATCAAATCAACCTGTTTTGTACAACTGTAGGCTGTTCCCTGTGGCCCTCCTGTCACCCAACCTTGATATACATTCAATGCTTTTTAAACTACCATAGGTAGTTGCATTACTCCAGAAGCAGAGCAACACCACATAATAGATATTGAAGCTTTACTATGTTCTTGGATATTTTCAACACGTCGTCTTCCTCTTCAAACTAAAACAGCCTTTTTTCCAGGATCATCCGAAAGATTTGTCTTGTCGAAACTAAATATATTTGATGGCGAAATATCACCAAATAATTCATAAGTTTTTTCAAGTTCATCAAAAAAATCTGTTATAATTTCAACTCCTAACTTTGATCTTGAACGTTTAATATTGCATTTCGGCCAGTAATTTTATTTCGTTTCATAACAGAACTTAACCAGTCATCTCCTGGCATCTTTAACTTGGAATTGTTTAACCCATTACGATTTAATTTAGTGTTTCTAATGTGATCATATAAGGTGGATTTTTTAACATTATGCTTATCTGCAGCCTTCCGAATACTCATGCCTTTACCATAATCTTCTAATACATTTTAAAGATTTTCTTTGGAGCTTGTTCCATACAACAATGTAAAGTTTTGCTAACGTTACACTGCAGTCCGAGGTTACCCCGGTTGACGGTATATATATAGTATATATTTATAAATATAAAATATATATTATATATATATATATATATATATATATATATATATATATATATATATATATATATATATATATATATATATATATATATATATATATATATATATAAATATATATATATATATATATATATATATATATATATATATATATATATATATATGTATATATATATATATATATATATATATATATATATATATATATATATATATATATATATATGTATATATATATATATATATATATATATATATATATATATATATATATATATATATATATATATATATATTTACATTGATGATATATATTTTACATTTATGTAATATAAAATTAGTACAATTAAATATACTAACATACATAGAAAAACCATTTAATAAAATTCTGAAAAAAAAACTTACTTAAAAAACTGTAAGAAAAATTCAAGCAAAGTCTATTTACGATCCACACTTATGAAATATTACCGTCATAAAAAAATATCTATTTAATAATTATTTAACTAACTGTTAATAATTTATTTAACTAACTTTGCATCCCAAGTTAAACCATGTGATATCATTAAATTGTCAAATTTAACAATATCTATAGTAGATTAATCCCACCGCCTGAATTATTTCATCCTATGAAAAACTCAAAACGAGATTGCGCTTTCGGGTTATAACTGTTAGAATTGTACCTAAAATGTCCGTACTACCTTTGTAAACATAAACAAGGAGAAAAAAACGTTTAGAGGACAAGAATTTACAAACAAAGTTTATGTAAAAGTAATATAAGAAAGACGATATAAGAAAGTGTCGTAGTGATAAAAAATAAACAACTATATACTAATTAGTTATTTAATTGGATGAAATTATTTTACAAATACTTTTATTGTATAACGGTGTATGTAAAAGTAAAAATTCAGGCAGATATAAATGATATCTTTCTGAATTAATACCTCTCCTTTTTAAATCGCTCAATGCAAGACAGTCTGATTTTTATTACAGTATAATGATTGAAATTCTACAACTATAAAATAATTAATAATTAGTTGATAGTTGTATAATTTCTGTTTAAACTAAATAAATTAGTTATATAATTATGTAAAATTAATCAATGTTGATTTTTGGTTATATGACGTCGCGACTAAAAATCAACCGTAAATCAACGTCGAAGTAACGTGGTGTGCCCACCGAGGAGTGAAGTATTAAAAAAAAGTATTATATTAGTAAAAAGTAACTTTTTTCATTTAATACTGTGCTTTGTCTAGGGTTAGGATTATTGTTGTTGTTATTGTAAAAATTAAATACAATAACAATTACAATACAATAATATTGTATTGCAATACCAGAGATGCAATTAAAACATTATTTATGGTTATTGTATTGCTGTGAATAAAAACAGTTACAATAATTATTGTATTGTTTTTTTTTCTAACAATACATTGAAGCTCTAAAACTATTGTCTTGTATTGCTGTGATGTAAAACAATTACATTAACTATTGTATTGTATTACTGTGATGTAAAACAATTACAATAACTATTGTATTGTATTGCTGGGATCAAAAAAATTACAATAAGTATATTGATGTATTGTATTACTATTTCAAAGTCTAATAGTTATTGTATTTTATATTATTTTGACGCATTTATTATTATTTGGGCACTAGATAATTTAGGGGTGCCCGTGACGCTCGTTTTCAGCAGTCATTTATATATATAAATTTTATTTATTTTCAGAAGTAAAGTGAAGCAAAGAAGTGTATATATTACGTATACTTAATAAATATTTGGTTCAGGGGTACACGTGGCACCCATTTCTAGCAACCATTTACATATATAAATTTTATTTATTTTGAGTTCAATAATATAACTGTTTAAATAATAGTTTATTTAGAATTAACATTAATAATATTCATTCAAAATTATACAAATATATAATTTATCATATGCTTGTAATTAAATAATTATTTACTTTAAGAAGTTAAATTTTATATTTTTTTTATAATTTTGTCTAAACTGATATTGACGTGTTTCACAGGATGATGACGTCTAAACTAACTGACTAACTACATTAAGCGCTTTTTTTTTCAATATATCTAACCGCTAATGTGTAATCAATTACATCGTTATGGAATCAAAGAACCTTTGACCTGGGTAATTATCGATTAGATTGTCTAAAAATGTGAACAACTTTTGTTTTGTTAAAATCTTTTTTAGATTTTCAGATTGTTCATCACCTATCAGACCGTACCAGTAATTTTTGTGTGGATCATTTTTGAAAAATGAGGCAGTTTAGAACACCAAATAAATATTGTTCTTTATTTATGTAACAAAACTCTTTTATAACTTTGCAACTAGATGTCTGGTTACTTTATGAAACACATATAGCCATAAAGCGGAAGGAAAACAAAAGACAAAGTTATATTAGACTAAGTGTGAGTTGAGTAAGTTTCGAAACAATTGGATAGGTGCCTAATGTAAAAGCAAATAACTTAGTGGAAGAAATGGTAGTAGTTAATCATGTTTATCCCCAGCAGTAAAAGAAATACAGGTCCGATTAAACTCACTTTTATAGACCTATACAAAGTTTATAAAATAAAAAAGAAACAGAATCAATACTTATATATTAGTTGTACCCTATTTCAAGGTCACTTATCTCAGAGACTGGACTGTTAAAACATTTATTAAATTTTGACTCTTAAATATTTTTTTTTATTACAATAACAATATATTGTTATTGTATTATAAAGACGAATTACGATACAATATTTATTGTTATTGTAGTGGGTTATCACAATATTGTTATTCCCCAGATATTGTTATTGTTTTATAAAGATGAATTGCAATACAATTTTTATTGTTATTGTATTACAGTATTACAATAATTGTAAATCACAAGAATTGTTATTGTTTCTAAATTAAGTTAATACAATAACAATAGTTATTGTTTTCATTACAATTACAATAGTCCTAACCCTAGTTTTGTCAACTAAGAAATTTATTGATAAGACATTTCTAATAAGCTTTTATTGGTAAAACACAGTATTAAATCGATAATGTTTGATAAGTGATTATATATATATATATATATATATATATATATATATATATATATATATATATATATATATATATATATATATATATATATATATATATATATATATATATGTATGTATCCAGTGGGCAAAGGGACGTTCTAAAGACGTCCGTTTTGGACTAGGAGACGTCTTAATTGGACAAAGGGGAGACGTTCAAGGGACGTGCCAATCTAAATGTTTTTCGTTCGTTCCGAATGGACTAAATATATACGTAACTACACTAGACGACTGATCTTACAAATCCTACAAAAATCCTATAGAATGAGATGCACAAGTCCCTGCAGGACCTACAAGAATCTTTTGAAGGATCTTGTAGGATTTGAAGGAATTCTTTTAAGAAAATATAAGATCTACAAGAATATTTTAAAAGATCTTGCAGGATTAACAGGATTCTTTTAGGATGCTGAAGGAAAGTTTTAGATTCGTATATATACGGCCGTAGCCCTTCCCCTTAATCCAGCACTGGTTCCTATAGGAACCAGTGATAGATTAAAGAGGAGGGGGTTAGGCCCCTAAAATTTTGGCATTACGAAACTTATAAGCGGACCTTTTTCTTTTTCTACTGTTTTAGTCATTTTTATGCTGTGGCACGTTAAAAAGGACTCCGGGCCCTGAAATGTCTTAATACGCCAATGATAGGAACATAACATTTATTATTTTATAATTAATATCATAAATCTAAAAGCCAAACTAAGAACATACGAAGTAAGGTTTTTATTTTGATTGGAAGGAAATTATGTCTATTTTTCTTTTTAATTACTGATAATAGGTTAAAGTTAAAGTTTGAAATAACATTTTCTTATTAAAAAAAATTATTCTGTATAAAAGAAATTTTTCACATATTATCATTATTACAGAATCACAATTGCATTGCTGATTACTTTCGTTTTTTCTTCCTATCTAGGCCGCTCTGATTAAGACTTCGTCTCACGCACGCCCACGAGTAATTGGCAAAAACTGTTGCAAGTTGCTCTTTGAGATTTCGTATTATTGCATCAGGAACTGTGGTTCTATAATAAGAAATAAAGATATATATATATAAAAAAAAGAAATCAGGTAATTAATCATTAATTAAAAATTTAAAAACCGTCCCGCCCCTTAACCCATCGCAGACACAAGGGAGGGGGGGGGATTATTACCCCCTGACAAAATTTTTAAATTATTTAAAGAGTATGACTTAGTAAAAAGTAAAAACACTTGAAATTTTAGCTAATTGCTCCAAATATTTAGGCGAATTTAAGAAAAAAAAATTCATTTGAAATGCCTAATCTGAGCATATTAGTCAAATCCATGGATCGATTCGGTCAATCGAATGACTGGTCAAAAACTTAAATTTTGAATTCTGGTTTTTCTTTGTAATCCTGAAGTTTCATATTTTCCAATAAGCTTTTTTTTATACTTACATATTTATAATTATTTCAATAAATGAAGTATGAGAAGTTGTTAGTCCAAGATCCTACTTTTTTGGATCTGGATCATGATCCAATAAGTTAAACTAATTGATCCCAAATTTTCAAAATAGGTTAAGAAAAATAGAAAATTTAATGATTTTCTAAAAAACCCCCTCCCACCCTGTGCCAACAACTTATAAAAAATAGGTAAGCCTTAAGGCTGCTGCCCAATAACATTACCTACATAAAAATGCCCTAATTAAAAAACCTACCTATCAGCCTCTCCATTAGTTGTATTCAAGCTTTCTCTAAAACATTTTAAATTTAATATTAAAAATAATGTTTAAATTTCGTGTTAAAAATACAGCAAACTTTCATACTTTAAAATATATATATCCATATATATATATATATATATATATATATATATATATATATATATATATATATATATATATATATATATATATATATATATATATATATATATATATATATATATATATATATATATATATATATATATATATATATATAGGTACCTTCATAAAAAATTTAAACTTTTATTTTTTAAACCAAATTAATTCTATTATATAGAGATTATTAAATGACAAATTTTTATACCAAATTTATTATCTGGGGTCAACTATAAAAAAAGATATTCAATTTTGAAGGTAGAGAAAATAAAGTGGACATCTTAACAAAGATACACAAGAAAATGACTACAAAAAGTGGACTTTATAACGTAGTTCATAAAATATTAACAATTTACTGTCACATATATGATAAAAACTGTTTATTATATCCCACTTATATAAATTAAATTGAAAAAAAAAAAAAAGAGAGAGGGGGGGGGGGTGTTTAAGCCCATTTTAAAAGGGGGTCAAATTCGATTCTAGTCATTTTATTAAAAAAAATTACCATAACTAATCTAAATTTAAGTTTGTTCATGCTTAAATCTAATGAGAATGTGAAAAAAAATTGTATAAAAAATTGAAGTGATTGGAGCCTGGGAACAAAAATACCCCAAAAAGTTTGTGCCCCACATAAAAATGTGAGGGGACCAAGTTATTAAAATACATTTACTTATTATTTTATACTACATTTAAATCTATCAACAGACCCAATAATTCTTGATATGTTTAAAGTTATTTTTTTAAGTTATTTCACATGGTCATAACCTTTGAGCATTAAAAAATGTGAATTTAAATTTAGTTTTGAATAATAAACTTAAAAACTTATTTACTCATTAAATTAACATTTGAGACAGGGGGGTTCTATCTTTTTTAGTTTTGTTCCTAAGTTTTATTTACCACAATTTTTTAGCAAATCATTCTTATTTGACACATGATTGAACATACTTATACTTAGAGTTTTCACAATGCCAAGTACAGTATCTGAAATGTAAAATAACCCTGTGCCTGCTCTTGGTTAATACAAAAATATTTAAAAACTAAAAGGAATAAATAAAAATGTATACAAAATAATCAACTTAAACAAAATAAAAGATAATAATGCCTAATATATTATAGTAATTTTTAAATGAACTCCAAGTCTTTAAGTATTAGATCTGCTATAACTCCTTCCTGGCTTATGTCAATATCTTCAGCTTCATCTTCATTGACTTTCCAATATCCTATTGTGTATGTAAAAGATTTTTTTTTTGTTGCTACCTTCTGATCAACAATTCTACCAAAAAATAAATGTATATTACCATCATCTAGCTCCCATTTATGGCTTAAGAGCTGCCCTATCAAGTTTCCATTTTTCAAAATTACTCCTAAAATTCGTTTTTGTTTTTCATCAATATTAACAAAAAGAGGATTTGTGGTTTTGGCATTTTCAGCTATTGCTCTTTTAATATCCTTCTCTAGTCGCTTTCTTTCCAGACGCTCTTTTTTTAAATTAGCTTTGGCGCATCTTTTTCCTATTTCTTCATACAAAAGATTATTAAAATTTTTAGAGGCTTGACACGCTAAAGCTCCTCTGCGAATTACAAATTGAATAAGATCTTCTTGTTCTGGCAATGTTTTCTCATCAAGCCATGTTAATGTTTTGTTTACCCTGGCTTTTATTTTAGAATCCAGAAAACCAAAAGTAGCATTAGGAGCACGACGCAAAAAAAAATCAAGCATCCCTAAGATCCTTTCAGCCTCCATTGTATGAGGTGGAGCAGATAGTGTGGTTTTTATCATTTCTTTAGATGGATTTGAGAGATTGCCAGTCAAATACCTGGCCATCTGTCTTTTGAGAACTGTCTCTGTGTAGCTTATTAAAGCTGATAAAATCTTTACCAAAATATTTTTATTTTTTTTACACGAAGGGATTGGTGTACCTTATCTTTTTTGATATTTAATACTTGACTAAAAATATCCACATCTGTATAAAGAATTGATTCTGGATTACTTTTGAAGTAAGCTAATTTCCTTATTGCTTTATGGAAAATGTCACCCTATTAAAAAAATAATTTTTGTACATTTTTTAAACTACTTTATTTGTTTATTAGAAAACCTTAAAAACTTACAAACTCAAGATTACTCTTTCCTGTTGCATTTTTATAAACCAGACTCATCCATGGCCCAGTTATTATTTTTCCTATCAGGCCCAACCCTTGCAGTTGCACAAGCGTTATATCATTACTCATATCTTGAAGTAAGTGTTGGCAAATTTTATTTTTGGTGTTGCTAGAATAACGAGAAAATGTTAATACATAGAATTCTATTAAAACAAATATTCATCTAAAAAAAACTTACTTTTCAAGAAAGGTTTTTATAAGTCTTTCGTATGTAACAACAATCCCTGCCATATGGAACAAAACATGAAATCTACTACCAACATATCTAAGGAATAGCCCTGGAGCAACATTGTTTTTTTTAAGATAGCTTTTGAATGCTGCAGGATCGCCTTTAAAACTATACCTGATTTTTAAAGAGCAAAAAAATTAAAATTTCAAATTTTCAAAACGTGGAAATAATAAAGAAATAATTGCTCACAAGAAAATAAAATTAAAAAAAAAAATAAATAATGAAAGATATACATATAAAAGATTACCTTAGCTTAGAAATATTTTTGAGGACTGTTACTGCAACCCCATCAGTTCCTTTAGCTGGTTTTATATTCAACTCATTATCTATTGTTTTAAGAGCTAATAATGCTTTTAAGGCAATAGTTTCCAATGGATGAACATTGCAGTACAGTTGCATTAATTGAATGTCCATCTCTTCCTGAAGCATGTTTTTCACACAACTATTAACAGGTGCTCTGTCTGACAGACAACTTTTGATTTTTTGAGTGAAAACATCTAAAACTTCTACTGCTGGCATATTTTTAAACTCTGCAAATGTATTGGCAAGTTCTTTTATTACACTGACAATATGAGTGGCACAGTCAAATCCTGTGCCTCCAGCAAGTTTAGCGGTTGATAAGGAATAACATCTCTGCGGAGGATAGGTACTGATAAGGAACTCATTTACATGTTTGTCTAAAACGGTGGTTGCATCAAACACTACTGTTGCACATTCACAATGAAAAAGTGCCTCACCAGCCTGAACCAATGCTAAAACACCTGGCTCATATGCCATTCGATTTACTGTGGATGAGTGAGGTGTTTCTTGCAGTTCTGTGTTGTGTAACAGTTCAGAAATTTTTTCTAACAAAAATGAGACGCTTTCCACAGGCACATTGTTAATAATAGCAGCATAAACACATTTTCTTATGGGTAGGTCATATGTTTTTAATTTTTTGGTTTCTATAAGTAACCTATTATCTTTTTTTTTTTCTAAAACAATACTAGTTAAATAATGATTTTGTTCTACAAGTTGTTTATTTTCTTGCTCTTTGATTTTTATCTGTTCCTGTAATTCTTTGATCGCAATTTTGTGTTTCTTTTCTATCTTTTTAACATTTTGTTGCAACTTCGTTCTACTAATTTTAAGAATTCTCAATTCATTAATGAAATCTAGAGAATGAAACTTATTTTGTTGAACTGTTTTTTTTTTTTTTTCTTCTGAATATTTCAATTTCCACAAATTTAGTGAAAAATACTGTCTTTTAAATTTTTTGTTTGTAAGCTTGTTACAGGTCATTGATTTTTTCAAAAAACGAACTCTCTGCTGCAATTTTCTGTTTTTTTCTTGTAAACTACGTATTTCATCTTTTTTTATTTTGCATGAACCACACTTTACTCTCTGCATTGTGTCTGAAGCAATATTTAAATCACTTGCAACGTTTAAGTGAATAATTGTATTAGAACTATTTCTTTTTCTTTCATATTTAAATGGTTGCTGCAAAAAATTAACAATAGCAGCCCATGACTGGATAGGGTTTTTTTTAAAGATTTTTATCTTTTTATGCAAGTATCTTATATTGTTGGAGAATACTTTAAAATCAGATGCATTTTGAGGTCCAATGTTCAGTTTTTTTAATTTCAGACAAGTTTTTGATAATTTGAAATTATTTTCAGAAAAAATTTTGTAAATGTCACCATTAAACAAAGGCTTCGATTGGCATTTATATGAATTAATTAAAACGCAAATATCTTTTGCAGTCTTGTGGTCCATCTAAAGTAAAGAAAAATACAAAGCAACAATGAAAATAATTTTAAAAAATGGCGCTATAATCAATACATTATTTTGCGGTAGCAACTGTATGCATCTTTTTTAAACATGAAGGAGATTTTAAAGTATCGGTTATTATATATCAAATGAAAGATCTATGAAGAATTTATTTGAGCATGTCAAAATCATTTATGAGCATTTGTATTGGCATATTAAATTCTTTATATGAAAATTACCTATTTTGGCAGGATTCCTTAACAGTGAAAAAATCGCAATTTTTTGAAAATTGTATAACTATAAACAAGTTTAACCTTCACTTTAAACGAAAAAATATAATAAAAATTGACACTTTATTTTTTAGCTAGCTTTTAAACACTCTTTCCTTTATGCATATAGCGTAGTTTGGAAAAACACGGAAATCCAGAAACTTTATAAAAGCGATGTCAAAATAAAAAAACGGACGCATACGAGGGTACCTATATATATATATATATATATATATATATATATATATATATATATATATATATATATATATATATATATATATATATATATATATATATATATATATATATATATATATATATATATATATATATATATATATATATATATATATATATATATAATATGTAAAATAAATATATAACAATTTTTATTATTAATTTTTATTAATTAATTAGAGTAAAGTTTAAATACAATAATAATTATTAATACAACAAAATTTATGCATGTTTATGTTACCAAGTTTATAAAATTTTCATAAAATCCATAATATAAAATAATCATGATATAGCAACTATTTATATATTTCTTTAACAAAAATTAAAAAGATATTAGATTCTCAAACAGCATGTTCATTATAATGAACATGCTGTTTGAGAATCTAATATCTTAATTTTGTATCTAATATCTTAATTTTTGTGACTTGTGACGTGATTTAAATGCGCTAGTGACGTGATTTAAATGCGCTATTGGAAGGCATTATGAATTGGGGGAAAATAAATAGCACTTGAATGCTATTTATTTTCCCGCAATTCATAATGCCTAATGATTTAAATTACGTCACTCTACGACTCAATTTACTCAGAAAGTCACGCAATTCAATGTACACTCAGATTGCGAGAAAAATTTTAATTCAACTAGATTTTTTTGATAATAATTTAATTTTAACGTAAGGGACAGATTGTCCCGGGCGGCAGATTTCCAAGGGGCACCAAATAGAATGAAGGTACCTTGGAACAAAGGTCCTTTACCGATAATATAGGAGAATTTCGATAATTAAGAACGCCAATCATTTTGCTGTCCCGGGCGGCGAAACAGTTCTTGGCGGCATTTTATATATACATATATGGTTATTTGTTATTATTTAATTTTTTTACAACACTTTTATCTATATATATTCAATAAAAATAGTTTTTAATTATTTTTTAATTATAATATATTTTTATTTATTTCCATACTTATAATGTTGTGTAGCGCAGGTGGTAAGGCACTAATGGTCTAGTGATCCGGGTTTCGAAACCCACCACCGATAAGTTTTTCATTTTTCAAAATAAATTTAAAAAATTGAAAATCTTACGAATCCTTTAAGATACCCTACAGGATAATCACAGGATTTCTTATGATCTTATAGGATTTGCAAGACAAATAAAATCTTACGAATCCTTTAAGATACCCTATGGGTAATCACAGGATTTCTTATGGTCCTATAGGATTTGAAAGACAAATAAAATCTTACAAATCCTGTAAGATATCCTGTAGGATAGTATAAGATTATATGCGATCCTATAAGATTCATAAGTTGTCTGTAAGATAGTCGACTAGTGTAGGACGTCACATGAGATTTCTAATGAACACACATCCGACGTCTTATTTTAGATTTTATTTAGAAAAATACACGTAACTAGGACGTCTCATGAGGCTTCTTATGGATGCACGTCTAACGTCCTACGGACGTCCTTATGATAATCATACCCATTGAGGCGTCGTTTGGAAATCTTATTTTAGGTTTTATTTTTTCAATAAGGATTAAAATCTGTGGTTTATGACTAATAAACCACGGATAATCCGTGGTTTACTGTCATACTAGCAGGGTGTAAACTAGCCCTGTGGGGCACATCAAACGCGGTATTTCCAAAAGCTCATAAAATTAAAGTTCCCAATTTAAAGGGAAAAGCTCCAAAATTTTCTAAAAAAGTTTGCCAAATAATAATTTAATAATAATTCTAAAAATTAATAAAAATGAATTATTATTAAAATCTAATAGAAAGATGACATAAAAAATTCTAATTTATTGAGTAAAACTTGAAATAAAATCGCCGTTATAGGTATAACTTCGCTATTGCATGACTGCAAAAATGTCTCTTGGGAAAAACCTTTTGAGAATTGCATTTTTTCCAAGCGATTTTAAGGATTTTCTGGGCAACTGTAAAATTCATTTCTTAAAGTTTTTTGTAATGCGTTTCAACAACAGCAAATAATTATTAAAAAAATTCAACAAGAAATAAAGCACAATCTAAAAAAAAAAAAATTTGATTGAACACCCGTAAATGTTATTTCTTTACAAGTCTAACCTTTTTTGGCTATGAAGTTAAATAAAGATTTAAATAAATAGAAGTCAGCAGAATTGTAATAATAACTAGAAGTAGAAGATAACTGACTCTCTTCCGCGGATTTTCATTGAACATAAAGTGGTATATTAATTAAAAAATCGCCCTTTAATTTTTGCAGATAAGTTTAAATATTTTTAGAAAAAATATATTTTATCTCAATTGTAAATAGTGCTTTTCATATATTTTTACAGTTTTATAAGAGAATTCATAAAGTAAATATGACACACCCTACATGAGTTCGTATAGATGCTATTTGTTTGACTTTCATAACTTCTTTGTGTAATGGTTGATTTCTTCCATTTAAAAAGGTTGGGATAATAAGTGTTACATCAAATGGCTTAAGCAATTTAGTTATTGAAAAATTTATATTATCTATTACAGAATCCCACTCTCATATAGCTCTTTTTTCAAAAATCTTGAGTTCATTATCTAAAAATCTATTTCAATATCAGAAATAAAACCAACAAGTAGTTCACTAACTTTTTGGTACAGCACCTATAAAACAAAGACAAAAAAGATATTTAGCAAACAAAAACATGCAATTAGATTATTGTTCAATAATCTAGAAATATTTAATTTGTAAATCATCTGCTAACATTTATGTATAAAACTAATAATAATACAATACCGAATATCTTCAAACCATTATTTAATAAAACTCAACACAAATACATTACTAAATATTCAAATAACAACTTTGTTCAACCAAAACTATATATGAGTCCACCAAGTTCTCAATAACTATTAGAGGACCTAATGTATGAAATAAGTTAATTAGTAATGGTATTAAAACATTTACAACTCTTGAACAGTTTAAACAATAGCTAAAACTATTGCTTATTATTTTTATATTTCACTTTAAAATTATTATATTTGGAAACTATCTATTAGTGCATACTTTATTTGTCTGGAAAGGTCCAAAGTCTTTAACTTTATACATTATAATCAATTATACTATGAAAAAGTAATTATGGATTTACAGCATTTATGTATTCATGTGCGTGTATGTGTATATTTATGCGTGCACAAGTGTGTATATGTATACATATATACATACATGTGTATGTGTATATGTGTATGTATATATATATATATATATATATATATATATATATATATATATATATATATATATATATATAAAAACATATATGTATATATATATATATATTTATATATATATATATATATATATATATATATATATATATATATATATATATATATATATAATATATATATATATATATATATATATATATATATATATATATATATATATATATATATATATATATATATATAATATATATATATATATATATATATATATATATATATATATATATACATATATATATATATATAGATACATATATATATATATAGATATATATATATATATATATATATATATATATATATATATATATATATATATATATATATATATATATATATATATATATATACATATATATATATATATATATATATATATATATACATATATATATATATATATATATATATATATATATATATATATATATATATATATATATATATATATATATATATATATATATATATATATATATATATATATATATATATATATATATATATATATATATATATATATATATATATATATATATATATATATATATATATATATATATATATATATATATATATATATATATATATAGTATGTATATATAGTATCGTTTATATATATATATAAACGATACTATATATACATACTATATATATATATATATATATATATATATATACATACTATATATATATATATATATATATAGTATGTATATATAGTATCGTTTGATTGTAAATTAACTTTTATGTTTTCATTTTTTCATGTTTTCTTTTTTTTTGTTTTTGCTGTTGGTTTTTTTTTTTTGAATGAATTATTAAATTTTCTTTCAATAAATAACTTTGAAATTTAAATATAAATATCATTGCAAAGTTAACTTTCATGTTATTGAGATTAAATTACTTCCTTCACTTTTATTAAAAATAACACCAAAAGAATCTATTAAACTGTTTTGCATTTTATATAAACTTTTTTAAAACATAATGCTTTTTTCCCTCATTTTTAATTTTTAATTTTAGTTACAACGTATTTATTTAAATGTCTTGAAAAAACAAGGGACTTGGTGATAAGGAAAGCCTGTCTTCCTCTTGTCTTTGCCATTTTTATATATATATTATAAAACACGGAACTTCTAAATACTTGTACGTATAAATAAAGAAGGCAAAAAAAAAAATTTTTTTTTGTTAACATGATGTTATTGCACAAAAAAAGCTATTTTTTTTAAGTTTTTCAAAAAGCTAATCCTTCTAACCCTAACCCTGACCCTAACCCTGACGGAAAACAAACTACATTGAAATGTAATGCTTGAATTTCTTTTACAAACTAAATAAAAACAGTCAATAATTACTTTTGTTTTAGGATAGGTCTCTTTACATAACAGCATGTTAAGTTTTAAGTGATTTAAATGAGTTCAAAATAGTATTGCACCAAGTTTACGGTAAACTAAATTTGATCATATAATAAGATCTTGACGCAGTAGATTTTGGTGTCTTAAATAACCAGTAAGTAAAATTTATATAAAAAAGTCTAAACCATGTTAAAAACATAAATAATTAATAAATCGATTTCATGTTTGACCTATTACCAGATATGTAAAATATAAAGGATTTATAAACAGTTTGTTTCGGTAACTTTTTCTCAGAATGATGTTTATGATAATAACACTTCATACTATCACGTTTATTTCCAGGATTTGAATATTCAGATAAAATGTCAATTATTTCGTTTATCATGCCAGTAAACGAGTTCAAACATTTATCATCTTTTTTGTAGCTAAAATAATTATTTTTCAATAATTTTATATGGAGATTTTCAAGGTAATTTTTTTTTTATGTTGTCGTAATTGAGTACAATTTTGAAACTTCATTTTTTTTTTAAAGATTTTTTACTGCAACCTGAACTAATTTTTATCTTCTAAGGTCTAAACCCAGCAAACATGTCAGCGTTAAATCAACGTTGAAAACCGGTCGCAAAAGATGTTGCGGAAACGTTGACAAAGTAATCGATTTTGCAAAGATATGTAACGTTGTTAAGAAGACGTTGAAT